TTGTTAACATTGTTTTTACTCCTATCGAACTTAATTCATACCAACTGCCTTCAGACTTCAAAGCGAGAGTAAAAATATTTACAGGTATGGGGCTAAGAACTATCTTCGTAATACTCTCCTCAAATTGACTACTTCGTAATATTTGTTCTACCATTCCCTTTGCTACATTTGTTCTGTAATGCTAACCATTCCTCCTTCTTTTTTGGAATTAACAGTTCAGAAACATACACCAAATTCCAGTGATTGACGATATCGGATTCGCTATTTAACTTTTTGCCTATGGACAACTCGTGTAGTTATCTGTCCTCGGCTGTCACGCCGCACAATTTGATCGTATGATCGGCTCGATCCAGTTTTACGCTGTTGTAAAACATTTCTGCTTTTTTCGGCATTACCAACACTATACTTATTGCACACAATTTTCGTATTTACATTCCCCACTTTTTCATTGTTGGCTGATCTCCTGTGGTGACGGATGAAAGCTTCCAGATTATATAAAAAAATTTACCTATGCAAGGCACATTGCCACCAACTGACTGGGGTATAAAAAAGTGCCATAACTGAATGATCCGCATGACGGTTCGGGCTGAGGTTTCATCGTCCATAAAGCATGCATAAAAGCAGCCCTTAAAAAACTTACGTTCAACAGGTGATGGCTTACTTGCTACTTTGCCACACCGGCATGCGATCAGGTATAACATGGAAGTGCGGACGAAACCTTTCGAGGGAATACCCCGCATAGAAGCAGGTCCCCTGCGGACGATTCCACGGCTGGCCATATCACTTCACACGAATATTGTTTAAATCTGTAACCGTTGTTGTTCCCGGCTTTCCCATTTCCTTTACACATTAAACCTGCCAATTACTTCAATATCCGTTTTGGATTCATTGTATAAAGCATGAACAGTTGCTTAGTTTGTGTGATCCTGCTGTACACATTGAGCAGACTGTAGATGAACTGTGGAGGAATATAGCATTTATTTACTTACGTAAATGTCGCAATAGTAAAATGACAGCTAGCGAAAGGGTCCCATAAATGTAGGACAAACAGGAATGTACTTCAACACGTACCATTGTGAAAATATTCCGTACGCCATTGCTGCTAGCTGGCCGTTCCTGTACTAGTGTCTCCATAAGCTGGTATTCTCGAGACAAAATATGCTGCGCTTGCCTGTGACATCCGGCTAATATCAATTTGCGGACGAAATGATCCCAACGCTCTGGCCCGATGGCTGCAAGATCCGTTTTGTTTGACCCTTGTGAGGTTGTAGCGACGAAGATCAAATGGGGATCAAGCGGTGAAAAGCAAGCTGACGTAGCAAAACCAAGTGGAACTGTTTGCAACTGTGTTTGATTAAGGATGCTGATGTAAAACGAAAGCAGTAAGAAATTAAAAGGTTAACAAAGCATCATAACAGTGTGTGTGTGTGTGTGTGCGTGTGTGTGTGTGCGTGTGTGTGTGTGGTATCCGATAATGACATCCTGAGGTGTTAGAGTTGAACATAAGGGGTAACATAGTGGACAAGCGTTCGAAGAGAACGCATACACATTTGAGAATTGGAATGCAACCATGTATAATTGAGAAACGATTGAATTCGGAAGTACGTGTTTTCACGATGTCTCCTGCACCTCGCTTATAGCAGTCAGTGGCAGAATGGCGCAGGCGTCTGGCTTTTCATCCACAAATCGCCAGTTTGAGAATGAGTAGGCGCGAGCGACCTCGCGGTGTTGCCTGATGATGGTGGTCGCAAGACAGCGAAGTGCTGATAAGCAGTGCCATAATGTACCGTTGATCAGCTCTCGTAACGTTCAGTAGGGTAAGTTGGCCGATACTGATACGATCGGAGCGTGTATCTCGGGTATAAACTGAGCGAGAGCGCGTACATCGCAGATAATAGCAAGCACATGAATTTAAACCCAAGAAAAACAAGCAGAGTCCGCGGAAGATGGGTCTCCATTACCCAGGTGCCACGCTAACATTTGAGTGCGTATGACTGTAGAAACAAGTTTGCTAGACAGGTAGTGGAAAATTCCAGTCAAAAGACTAATGACAAAACAGCATGGCTTGTTAGGTCAGTTACAAGTGCAGCAAGTCTAATTACTAGTCGAGTAGTCTACCCGTCAGTTTAGCGATTAGATATGTCATGTAACTCGGCGCGATAAACAGTTCAATAACACTTCATTGCCGCCACAACGGTCATCGAATTAAACGAACGTTCGGGAATGCAGTCATAAAAGAACCCCGCGTGTGTGGGAACTCAACCTGGAAATGAGCTGATTGCCGACCTCAGTGGTGTTTGTGTTGTGAGCTTCTTTATCCCTCTCCTGCTCGTTTAGCTCCCTCCTCCAACAACGATTTCACACTGCATGGATTGGATTACATTTGCTTCCTTAGTTTTTGTGTTCGTAATGTTTCGCATCTCGCTTTTTCATATATCTTGACTTGCGGCACAGTTAGCTGAAATGCGAATCTCACTTTCAGCTACTGTGTAATGATGATGATGATGATATGATGGAAATGAATGAATGATGCAGTATGTGTGTGGGAATGTCCGGGCAATCAAGTTGGTCTCGTATGGCTTACAACATTCAGTTAAGTTAGCAGTCGCTGCACGGTGACGTGAGCATGATATCGACAAAAGATGTGGCAAGAAACACTTAATATGGTTTGTGGTAAAGTCGTACGTGCTGAGAACTCCCAAAAGCAGGGTTCATTGACGACAACACTGTATAGAACTAAAATAATGTCTCACCATGTTGGTGAACTGTCAGTCATCAACCATAATGAGCTATAGATATAAGCGGGGATCAAGCGGACAATGTGCCTACAAACCGAACGGGATTTCAGGCTGGGGAGTGAACCAGTACTGAGCGTCAGATCCCAAAGATGCCAAGCCCAAGAGCGGTTCATTTTAAGAAGTGGAAAACATATTTCATCTGACGGTATTCGGAATACGAATGAAATCCGCGAGTTTCCAAGGGGGATAGTTGACTCAAAAACCTAGGGGGTAGCAGCTACTAACAAAGGACCAAAGATACCGAAGCTAAACTAAGAAGGCACAGTCATTTTAAGTCATGATAACAGTATATCCGTTGCCAGAGTGGATGTCGGGATTTTCCGAGTAGTATTCGAATGCATGGATTCTCTTTGCGGGGCGATAATGTCAACACTTCCGCACACAAACACGGAAACCAAGGACTAAATCAAACGAAGTGACCACTAAACTCTGGGGACAAACATGGAGAACCAAAGAGTGTTGGACCGTTAGTTGTGAACAAAAATATCAGAAGCCGATAAGCAACTGGTATCTTCTATATGTCTAGCGAGGAGACTACGCAAATAGTAAGTGAGATTGCATCACAGAACTGGTGAATTTTTTGATGGCGTGGGCTGACTGGAAAGTAATTGGATATAACGAACCTGTGAATGGTGAAAAACTCATCAGTGACAGCGAACAAATAGTTATGCCATATGAATAGTTCTAAGACGTTGGGGGAAAGTTGAAACGGAGGCCTCTGAGAAAGTCCTCGTGCATCCACCAAGACCGCAAGAGAACCCGGACCAGAGATAAGAAATTCGTCCTGAGGTAAAAGCAGGTTAAACACTTCCGTAAAAAAACGCAACTAACCTTTTGAAGATGTGCTAAAAAGGGCTTTGTTCTGGCTCCGTTATACCGAAAGAGCTCTGTGACTTCTTTATTGTGCAGATTGAGTGATATGTACTGCCCTTCGGTTGCAACGCATAGATACTGTTCACCAAAACACTGAGCAGCAATTAAGGGACAAGACGGTACATAGTCTCACCAGCAACGACGGAGCGACTTTTAGTTTACATTCGAAGGAAAGATTTGTACCCGTCCTTGTTAGTTTATAAATTTGCACGGATCGCGAAAGGAACCCTAAGCATAGCTAGAAGACAGTAACCGGCTGGAAAGAGATATACTTCAGCACATTCCGGTTCCTTAGGGTGAAGATGAAACGTGGATACGCCACGACAAGTTTGGAAAAAGTCAACAGGCTGAGAATGATGATTAGAAGAAGAATGGCACCTCCAATTTTTCAGCGTCGTAAATAAACAAATCGTTCTGACTCAAAATAGCCAACAAATTAAGGCTTGCGGCAGTTTGCATTTTGGTAATAGAAGAATTCTAAGGGCATGTCAATAGTGAGTCGGTGAGATACACTTAGGGTTCTGGTAATTAGCTGAATATAGCAAAACAAGCCGCCATAGATGCCACACTCTTCGTACACACATTGAGCGACTGTTCTGCAAGGTTCCGAAACCTGAAAGCAACACGAGATCACATACCCACCGGAGGTGCCGATGAAAAGCAATTTTGACAGCAGGCACATTGACGTGACCTGTGAATAAGTTAAACATTTGACGTATGATTGCTAACTTGATAATTAGAAACGAACACCTCCCCACTGGATGGAAAAAGGGTGTATGTTACATTCTCAGGAGCCATGCTATCATTCATAGTGTTCATCCCTACGGCTCAAGGAACAGAGGAGTTGGATTTTCTAAAACGAAATGAAAATAATATAATGACATGTTACAAATGTGGGTTAGGTCACAGCATAAATAGAGGCATCAGGACTCAAAAGATGCTTTCCACAAGGAGTTGGCAGAAAATATGTGCATCCAGTCAGCGAATATTTACGACGGAGACAGAGCAGCGCATAGATACCGGATCAAAAACGAGAGAGGTGCTGGTGCGAACCCGGTTTAGGGTTTGTTGTCGAGTCAGTGGATGTAAACCTAAGGGACCGAATCTACTCGAAAGAGTTGCAACGAAAGCAGAGAATTTTTCTAGCTGCTCTATATTCTGCTCTGATTCACGTAGTTTAATCGCGTTGTCGCACTAGCTGTAGTGTGAGAGATGAGCAGAAGACAAACATGCAGGTAGGTAGGTGACAAAATATGCAAAAGTTGTGAATATTGTACGATGTAGGAGATCTACAGGTCACCGTAATATACCTGTGTTGTTCCCCCTTACCGCATATAGTTTCCATGACACCAGGTCTCCTGTTGCCCGTTTCCGGTAGCGAAGGAAAGAACTTCCGAGAATTACCAAAGGTAATAACGGTTTCCATTTCAGACACATGATGAGACCACTAGACTTCGCAATCTTTCTTCAAGCTAGTATGTAACTTTGCCCTGAGATTTTTCCGAATCTAGTTGTAATCGTTCCCAGCCGGAACGCGCCAAAGAGCATCAAGAAGTTCGAGAGAATGCGCACAGATCCGACGTCTCGGTTGGTAATCAGATTGACCACATGGGTACATATTTGCAGCCAATAGGATCTGCTGAGCATGCGACCAGAGATCATCAACTGTATTCAGTGAGCATTTACTCGACCTGAGTGCCAGCGCAGTTTCGCATGCATTAAGAAGCCCTAGGCTCGTCGGTTGGTGGATGTCTATGCGTTCACATCGTAGTCGTCGGCTTCCGCGGAAGCTAACTCGGAGATCCGCACATGAAGGCGCGTGGCCGGAGTCCAAATCGAGAGACCGTTTTGGACCCAACCTGTCCGGCGGCAAATCATCGCGATGTGAGCGATTTGAGTCCATGACTGGTCGGGTTCTGGTGGGCGTCATGTCCCCTCCGGCAGGTGCTGGAGAAATAGACAGGCATGTCCACACAGGTGTAACAACCGCTCACCGTGATCGACTGACCAGCTGTAGTGCATCAGTGGACACTTGTCCAAATAAGGCGTTCAGATCATTAGGAAGCACTTTTGAGACTAGCTCAGTCTGTGGTAGAGGTCTCAAGAAAAATGACACTAGTATACGGTTTGTTAAGTAGAAAGTCGGTATGAGCAAGAGTCTCGTGTGCTTGAACTAACGCTGGTATGGACGAGTATGCATCGCCGAGCCTCATTACTCAAGCAGAGAATTTGGGATTGGTTGTGACCGAGTCAGACAAACCGTTCTCGTACTGAAGGCGGTTAATCTGCAGAAGCTGCTTATATTTGTCTCCAACGTCTTGATAACTATCGTAGGTGCTGGCTGATTATACCGTTTGGCAAGCTCGCCAGCGCCCAAAGCGCTACCTGAATAGGTGTTGAGCGGTGAAACTCCTTCATTGAGGTTGAACCCGTCTTCCTTTTCTTTATGATGCGTTATGAGGAGCAAAAACCCCGGTAAGATATGCCATAAACTTCTCCCAAGATGACTCAATAGTACCGGCCATTGAGTCCTGACAACATAAAACTGAAGCCTTAGCTCGCATTGCGCTACAGTCCACGCGCCAAAGATTCGGACGTAACTCAATGGTAACCTGATGATGCTAAGAAAAAGCATACCGTATACGTAGATATGGTCGCTCGCCCCAAGAGGTAAGGTCACTTAGGAAATCGAGTGACGCGCAAAAATAAGGCTCAACATATACGGTAGCTGGGTGCGCATGTATCTAGTAGGGAGGTCCACGAACTGATGCAAAAGCACATGAAACGTTAGCTCGAGAAGATCCGAAACAAAAGTGCCCGTCGCCGAAGTGCAAGAAAGATCATACCACAAACTACAGGTAGGTCGGAGTCCCCCACTACCAAACAACTATTAGCAGCCTGAGTATCAGTAAACCCCATAACCTCCTGGGACTTTAATATACCAATACAACCGTAGAATGAGAAGGAGAAGAGCACACAACAGCCGAAAGGGCTTCAACGGCTTTATCAAGCAACCGTAAAATGCGGTTCCTCAAAATATGCAGTTTACAGCTCAAATACAAGCAACCTATCCGCCCTGACCACCGACGAGGCGATCAGACTGAAGCGGCGTATAATGAGGCATCTGTACTTCACTATCAGTGATATCCGAGGACAAGCACGTTTTAGTGAAAGTTTGTTAAGGAAGAGATTTGTTTATAAGTAGACATACCCCGCTTACTTTGCTAGTTAGGCTACGCACATTGATGAGTACAACTTGGAGGGACTCGCTACAATCCTAGATCGTGCGTTAACAGAATGGCTTCTGGTAAGACGGAAATTAACCATCGGCTGACCACCTGAAAACTCCCAATATGGAGGCCTTTCTCCCTAGCCACCCGTCTGTCTTTGAGATTTTTGACGGACCCCTCCAAATTTAGTCTGTCCGCAAATAGAAGATCTGAGTAAACGCTGACATTACCACTCTTGAGTTTAAATGCAAAACTCAGTAACGCTTTGCGCTCCTCCATGGTCGACGCGAAGTGGTTGGAGTCGTGGATTTGACAAACCGACAGGCATATCCCCCAGTCTGGTCAGCACCGTGGCAGCAAACCCATGATTAAGGAGCTTGATACACACTTTGTACTAATGGAGGTCATCGATAATGCGTTCTTTGGGAAGGGCTGATGCAGATTCAGCAACACTTCAGAACATAAAGTTGCTATCCGTAAAAGAATCACCTTAAATCGACACCACGATCGATCGGTTTGGCCGAACGTGGCACTGTGGGTTTTTTCACTAAAGTGGCTGGGATAATCAAGGGTTAAGCTTTGTGCTCCATCTCAAACACGGCTTTGATCCCATCAGGCTTGAAGAAGAGCTTACGGACTTTCTTAGTATTTTTCCACTTATTTTAAGTAGAGGCATTAGCGCTAATTTGACCTCGCTTTGAGCGGAGTCCAATACGCCATCAGAAATAGTCTCGTCAGCAGTGTTCTTAGCAGAGTGAGCACTCGACAAGGGGATCCGTCACCTCAGGCGGATTCATAAAGACAGCAGGTAAAATAGGCGGTCACCACCTAAGGGGCTGACATCGATGTATAGCCCGAGTACATTCGTAAGTCCACTTCTCGGTCGAGATATAATAACTAAGCTCTTTTGCTCGTTTTCCAACCGAACGTCGCTTGATGCCTCATTTACAACAACGGGACGCCCAGCAGCCAACATCATCAAACAGCAAGCTATTTCTGGCGACAGCATTGCGTATAAGTCAAAATTCAAACCGGTAAAGTTACTATGGTACCACAGGTTGCATACATCGTACTGCATGCCACCAGAATCAACCGTCACACGCTTTAAGCCGTCCATGCTGTCACACACCAGTAGATTCGCTGTCCAAAGCAGCCGAAAATACAACAGTGCTGGTTTTCCGTGAGTCTCACATGACAATCTTAAAAAGAATGTGGAACAAGAAGCAAAAACGTAAAACTGGTGCGCTATTATCTGCGGGACAAGCAGCGAAAACAGCAACGGGTTAAAAGAAGATGCGAAATGGATGATCGAACACAAAAGTACCGGAAAAACATCCAGAAGCGGATCGCCATAAAGTATAGACCACGTTTGGCGAGTACTCGGGGCGGATATGATGTAACCCGGAAAATGTTGATTTAAAACTATCTAGACCGAGCAAATATTGACAAAATCCTTTTTTGGAGATCCTCTTATAAACATTGCTTTCAAACAATCTCTTGAAAGCAAAGCCTCAATGAGAAAACACGCGCAAAAATGCAAATTCTATGATCTAGCTCAGTCTACGCGATTCGGGCTGTACTTAATACTTTATCTGCTAGCGTCAAATCATAGCCGAAAATCAAAAGTCAACGCTTGGAGGCAAAAGCGTGTTGCAGAACCAGCTACCGAAACGGGTACCAGTAGTGCGGAAGTCAGTGAATATTTATTGGTCAACAAAGGAAGGTTTGCGTTTCAGAACAGCTAGGTTAACTGCCCTGATTGGTAGTTCACTTCCGCTAGCTAATGGGAAGGTAGCTACGTGAAACGTGTAGATCTGAATGTTCTTGATGCGAACATTCCTGAAACGTCTTTATGTTTCTTTTGTACTTAATTGGATCGAATCGTTTCCCACTGAATCAATGAGTTTCCCTGGGAGATTTTACTCCCCCTAACAACAAGTGACCGTCAGAGTTAAGAGCCGAAGTGTGGACGACACTTAGGCCAATCTGCTAAGTTACCACAGGGATTTAACTTCCGCCAGCGCCAATGTTGAGGACAGAACATTTTGTCTGATTTATGCGTATCAACCGTAGTGTTGAACAATACCAGAGTCTACCCAAGGCATTCTGAATTGCCTCAAATAGCCACAATATTCCAAAACGAAGTACCAGTTAATCCGAAGCACTCACTAGTACAGTATTTCACAAAATTGGAAATTACTGGATATTACACCTTCCGATTGTCTAATAGTTTTACTGACTGTACATCCCCTGACATTTTCCGCTCGGTGAGTAGCGCGCTACGTTGTTTCCTGCTCTTACTGATTCCCTCTCCACTCCTTGTAGGCCCAGCTGCCTCTATCTTCTCTGCTGTCCTGTTTTTGGCACGTCACTTACGCGTCATATATACCAACTAGTACCCGAGGCGTGCCCAAAAATTTGTGTTCCCAGCTTGGAACTCACTATCAGCCATTTTGAATTTTCAATTTGGTGACCCCATTCAAGTAATTTTGTGATACATAAGTTGTTACCAATTTGTTTTCGCTCGTACCGTGTACCTGTATACATATTTTGCAATGAATGATATGCATAAAAAGGTCTCTGCACGTGGTTAGTGCCGTAGAGTTAGCCACTCCAACATTTTT